GATATCCGGAATTAGTCGACCCCGTCTGTCTAGTGACCCTGGCTCCCCTAGATAAGGGCGGATCATCCATTACTGGGGACAGCCTAACGGTCAAGTGATAGTGCCTCAAGCAAGCAAACTATAAGATGACGGGAAGCGACTCCTGAAGAGCGCTATCAATTACCCACGCTATCACATCCCCTCCCCTAATCTAATATCCCATTCGGTGAAGATACTCCCCGTCTTGATTCATATCTAGCAGTCTCAGATCTGAAAATTTCCTGTCTTAATCTGAGGCAATAGCACTACTCTGTAGAACATATGAATAGCTCGTTTAGCAGCTAACAACAATTAAATCATCGTCCCGTATAGATACATTCGTTAATTGGTAACGCCCGGTCCAGTGTAGCCCGTGTCCGGCAGGTAGAGGTGTCGCTGGGCGCCCCGAGACGTCAGCACCACCAGTCGGATGACACCACCCGAACTGCCATCCCACTTGATCGCTTCTTGCAGTGCTCCGCGGACGAAGTTGATGCCTTCCTCCTCTGTCATGTTCTCCCTCCAGTGGGTATCACAGTAACCATAGATATAGGTCGATCCGGATCCGCCAATGGAGTACGGTTGCTTGTGAAGAGACCCGCCCAAGGGTATCGAATACACCTGACCTCCGTGCTTCGGGTCGTATCCGGCAATGATAATACCGGCACTATGAGTGATTGGTCAACAAAGCTTGCTCCTTCCAGACTGGCCCGGTGGTATGCCTACCTTAGCATGTCCTTGTTCTCGTAACATAGCTCTTGGAACAGCGATGCGGCGACCTGAGTACTCGGCGCCTCGTTGTTGGTGATTGCGTACATGTTGAGGTGGTAGGACACGATGTCTGCCACAGCCTGGGTGTCCGCGGCGGAACCTGATCGACAGCACCAGATTGTGTCATGGACCTGCGTCAACTTGTCGGTGACTCGGTTGGCGATGTAAGCTCCGGTTGTCGTCCGACTGTCTGCACCCAATATAACACCATCCTTGAAGTTGATCGCCATGCTGTATTTCGTCAATATATCGGACATTGCCTCGGGGCTGACTGAAACTCACATCGATGTTCCTAGGCTGTACCGATGAGTTAGTGACCATTCTCAAGTCTCATTGGGCAAATGGTTGGGGGACATACTTTACTTCTCCGCTCTTCAAGTGGTTCATATCAACGTGGATGCCATCTGCAATAACTCATTAACTCCTGCTCGACACATTATCATTTCATAGCACGAGACCACTAACCCTCGCCCAGCATCCCCGTCATACCGTGACCGACCATGATGGCTGATTGGAAATTGACAGACTGGGTGGATATTTCCTGTCTAAATAAAGCTATCCCACCGAAAGAAACAGGGTGTGATGGTGATGAAGCGTGGATGGAAAGCAAACGTTAGTGCAGCGATGGTCAGAGGTGGTTATGAGCTCTGACGGAGCTCTCCAGGCAGGTGAACGCGTTACGTTGGCAGCTGGAGCTGATTCCGCCGGGCGGTGAGAGACAGCCACGTTCCTACTGGGTGGTTCCTCTTCCCCCGCAAGCCTCCTGAACGACTTCCCCCAGCCATAGAAAGCAGCCCCCGATGAAACAAACCGACGCATTATCTCCCGCTCCAGGCTGCAGGGTATCTCGCCGGATCGTGACCCTCACCACTTGAATTTCCCCCTTCCTGCATTCTCCAGCGCTCCGATCGTCAATTCAAGCATTTCCACCTTCTCCGTTCCAGCCGCACCGCACCGCCTTATCTCTCCGCGACACTGCCTGGTTAGCCAGTCTACTACCATGTCGGAGTCGCCGCCCCCACCGTCATGGAGTATCGCCGGCATGGCCAACAGTGCCGTGCAGTTCTTGCGATTGCCAGTTCTGGCGTCTTCCGGATTGGCTGTGGTAGCCAGCGGTCTTTTGTACTTTAAGCAGAAGTTTGTACCCCGGCATCAGACGTCCATGGACCACATTTCAGTGGCGTGTCGTTAGACGCTGACCCCTTTTGCAGTGAGCTCATTTATCCTCGCAACGTGCCCGTGGATGCGCGGACAAATGTCCCCAAGCCCCAACAGTTTGGAATCACAGACTACGAAGATCTACAAATCCCGACCCCCGATGGAGAGTCGTTAAATGCCCTGTTCATCCGCCCTTCGCGCAAACGTATAGGCCCGAGTATCACCGTGTTGATGTTCCATGGAAATGCCGGAAACATCGGGCATCGCATCCCCATCGCAAAGGTTCTACAAGATGTCTTGGGTTGTAATGTCTTGATGGTGGAGTACCGTGGTTACGGTCTGTCAACAGGTACACCGGACGAGGCGGGCTTGAAAATCGATGCTCAGACGGGGCTAGAATATATCCAACAGCGACCGGAAACCCGAGACAGCAAGATTGTGGTATATGGACAGAGCTTGGGTGGAGCCGTGGCGATTAACTTGGTTGCCAACAATCAAGCCAATGGTGCGATCGCTGGACTAATCCTTGAAAACACATTCCTGAGTATTCGCAAACTGATTCCCACGTAAGTCCTGCTCTATGACTGCTTGCGGACCCAGGCGATGTTGTCCACGTCCTAGGCCAGGCAATGCTGACTCGTCTTATAGGGTCTTCCCTCCTGCTCGTTACCTTGCCCGGTTCTGCCACCAGTACTGGACCAGCGAGGATATCCTACCTAAGATTACACAGGTCCCCGTTCTCTTCCTGAGTGGGCTGAAGGACGAGATTGTCCCGTGAGTGCCCTCAGGAATTGTTGTACAAGCTGAGTCCCAGCACGTCACTAACATGCAGCTTATGACCAGACCATCCAACATGACTCAGCTCTTCGCTATCTGCAAATCCGACCGCAAGGTTTGGCGTACACTTCCAAACGGAGGACACAATGACAGCGTTGCTGAGCCAGGCTACTTCGAGCATATTCTCTCCTTCGTGAGGGAGGAAGTCCTCGCGGACGGCCAATAAACCGGCCGCCGAGATGGTATTGGGCAGCTCCACGATCTTCAACCATTGACGTGAATCGGTCACTTTTATATCTCGGATCGCTCTGATGACAATGATGCTTTCCTTGGTGCTGTTCCTTTACCAACTGCCAACGAACTCATGACCACTTTCGACCCTTTGCTCTCACAATATCCCTTTCTGCGAAGACTACTCGTCCGCAGTCATGTCTAGGGCAAGGTTCTTTTACAGTGCCCTTCACATGTGGCTGTCGTTACATGAAGAAGAACTGCTCCTTATACACCCAGTTTAATTTCCCTTACGACTTGTTCCCCAACAGTCCGTCTGCTGCGGTTTCTAATTCAGACCCCTTAATCCAACGCAGCATTGGTTCGAACACTGTAGCCATATCAATTATGTTTCGACAGCAACTTGCTCGCCTGTTCTTTGTCATTGCTCCCTGCGTGGAGTCTACCTTTTTTGCCTCATGATATTCATGCTCATGGCGTTATTGACTCTGGTTATTGTCTCATCATTTTCGCACTGCTTCCAAACCCAGGCGGTGTTTAGCTTGTTTCATCTGGCTGCATTGGCTGAATGCACTCATGGATTTATGAGTTGTGAATCTACGCGTTCGCACTAGAATTAGGAAAGACCTAGCAGCCAAGACCGTCTATCTAATGAAGATTCCATCTAGTCCAATGGACGAGTTGTGTTTAAAACAAATATTCTGCGACTCTTAGGATCGATCGTACTGTGTACTAAGTTATAGCTTCGTAGGAGTAGGCATGCCATGCACTGCTAAAGAACATAATGACTCAGCAGCATAGTGGCGCTGCACAAGGCACGGCCCCACGTGGATAATCGGCGAGCGGAAACGTCCAAGTCAAGCCATCAATTAATGGCTCATGCCATCATGCAAAGTTCAATAGTCATCCCACCCGTTCGTTGCTGGCAACCTCCAGCTCCCTAAGTCCTTCATTCTACATACTCGCCGCCATTGTTTCGCTGTATATTTCTTTTGTTCCACGTTCTTTCGCCTGTCGTTCCTTCTTTGATTAAACAGGACACGAGTCCTCTAACCCCCGTACCAAGCATACCCTAGACGGGCCACTTGGCGATCTGGCCCGCCATTGACGGCATTGATTTGCGATATCCTCGAAACCCACCACTTTCGTACCCACCATGGCGAACCGTCAGATTACTCGACGCATTCTCATCAGTACCGCGATTGCCGTCTTCCTGCTCTTTGTTTTCTTTATCCGACCTGAAGGACCGCCGAGTCCCGCGATCCGTGCCCCTGGTCACCTGGAGAAGTCTACGCAGGCCGTGGTCTCCAAAGATGACCTCACCAAGGGCGAGGTTGTGATGCCCCGGCTGGGGAATGCAACCGCGAAGTAGGCTAAAGCCAAATGCTATTTCGCAATCTTGACATTTACTGATCATTCACCACCAATGGCAGAGCCGAATTGGGTCGTGCGACATGGAAGTACTTCCATACCATGCTAGCTCGATACCCCGAGGACCCGACGGAGGAGCAGCAGGAAACTCTTCGCTCCTTCATCTACCTTTTTGCGCGACTCTATCCATGGTACCTACCCACACTCCTTTCTCTCTGCGCTGATCGTGGCTGCTGACTGTTTATCAGTGGAGAGTGCGCTTCTCATTTCCAGGGTCATCTGAAAAAGTACCCGCCGCAAGTTTCGTCGCGCAACGTGGCTGCAGGATGGGGCTGCTTTATCCACAACGAAGTGAACACCATGCTCGAAAAGCCGATCTTCGACTGCAATAATATTGGGGACTTTTACGACTGCGGCTGCGCCGAGGATGAGGAGGGCGAGGGTGGTGAAACCTTGAAGGATAAGAAGAGTCAGAGCGCTGCTCGAGACGAGGTTGATAGCGATGATGCGGTTTCGCCCGTTGAGATATCCAGGGAGCCGTTAGTTACGTCTTTTGATTACCACGGGAGCGAAGATACTGATCAGACGATCTAGGACTACGCGGGGTTGAACAGAACCGCAGAACTTGGTATCTAATCCGTGCACCTGGTTGCGTTTATACCCAGTACTTGTTCTTGCATGCTCCACCAGCGCAGGATCGCTGGGTGCATGGGGCCAGGAGCAGTACATTAGCGTATGATTTCTACAACCACACTCATTCAAATTCCGCATTATCGTCCAGACTTTGTACTTTGCATGTGAATTTCATCTGCCCTGTAAGCACCCGGACTTCCCGGAAAGGGCTTCGCTTCTCACACAACAATTGTGAGAGGTTAACAGGAATTCTGCAGTCACACAGCTGTAAACGAAGCTTCCAGCAGTTTCTCATCATAGGCGAGCAAGCGATGGCCGGGGCGGCCGGTAAGGTTGCGAAAGTATGCGGCATCGCGCGCATGACTGCAGAGATGCATCTGACTGGCGCGGCTGACCAAGACTAACGTAGCCTGTTGCTGAACACAACAAGGCACGGTGTATTGCCTCGCTCCGCTACAGCAAACCTCTATGGACAATTTCCCAGTTTGCGATATAGTCAACTAGTCAACTAGTATTACCGACACCACGCTGGAAGTGTCAGCGACGACAAGGCTGAAACCTGACTTCAAATAGATGAAACACTCCGCCATGGGGATGCCCGATTCGCGCGCGGCCCGGGCCACAAAAATAGAAATAGATGTCGTTAAGCCAGCGCCAGCGGCATCGCTTGAACCGAGCCTGGCTGTCAACCAGAGGGTGGCTCGCACCGAAAGTCTAATCAACTGTAGACTGACGATCTCACCCACCTCAAGCCTATGGAACAGGGAGGTATCACTATGCCTAGATAGCTGGCGATGGACTCGTATCGGAATCCTCCCGCATCATCTGTAGGAGCGTCTTTCTTTCGCACCCAGCGCCACACTAATCGACCCGGTGAAGGCGGGTGAAGCTGGCTGGTGACTGGTTGATCCGACCATCTTGCTGCACGGCGTCAGGTCTCCTGATAAGTCCGTGCTGATGTCCGGATGCGCAAGCGCTACACCCGTGGTCTACTTGATCCGCAGGTCATCATGTCGGCGTTTGCATGGGAATCCTGGGCCTCGTCGACCGAAGGGCGCGTTTCAGGTCTGGGAGTCCAAGTCAATCTGACTCCTGAAGGTCATGGTGGATGATGAGTATGAAGAGGGGATATGCTGTATTCGACGTTTTTAGTGGAGCTGTTCTTTGAGCAGGTCGTATTCTCAGCGGTAAGAAGGAGGCGCATAAATTCTATCTAATTATCTTGTCTTCTTGGATTTGATTGCGGGGTTGGAGGGTCATGGCCTGATTCGTCAGGTACCAAATGCCTACCATAAGGTTTGGAACAATCCCAAAGCAGATAAGCGCCACCCAGAGTTAATTCTGGACTTTTTACTTTTTGGCCCTTTTTTGCTCTTTTCTTTTTTTGGCGAGGGAACAAGAAGCAAAAGCACAGCAGTGAGACGCAGAGGCGAGAGAACAGGGAAGCTTTTTCTTGAAGGCGCCGAGTGCTTGGGATCCAGTCCGCATTTATTTATCTGACCTGCTTTGCTTATTCTGCTCGGCTTGTCCGACCATCCCTCGTATTTGTTTTTGCGCCGTCAACAACAATAACAATCACCACCACTTCCACGACTACCACCATTACCCATTTGTTTAAGTAGGATTGAATTGGATTGGACTTCGTCGTCGCGCAGGGATCCATTCGTTCCAGAAAATATTCCATCGCTTGGTCGGCTTATTCCCCGACAGGTTCAGTGCGGGTCCCGACAAACTAGCGCCCTTCTCAATCGCCGTCTTTTCTTCTTTTTCTTGCCTTGCGACTTTGAGTTCTCAATATATCACTGGGAAAGTCCCGACCCGTGCAGACACTTGAATAGTACGCGCGCCACATCGCCGGGTCATTCAATATGGTTTCCTTCTCCTGCGAGGTGAGTTGTCCTTGTCTCTCGTTTGTCACGAGCAGCATCCTGCGCGGAACTCTGCTGGAACTCATGCTAACTCGCTGCCTCTTCTCGACCTCCAGGCTTGCGGCGATATCCTCACCAAGAAGAAGCTTGATCCCCATCGCAACCAATGTCGCGGCGCCACCTTCACCTGCATCGACTGCATGGTGCACTTTTACGGAACTGACTATCGGTCGCATACGGTATGGCTCTTCTACCCCTCCGCTTGTGCTTGTTCCGCGAACTATATACTTTGCGCTTCGTCCAACGGGTCGGAACTCTCTGCTATAACTGCTTGTCTGATTGGTGGATCTGAGGGCTCGGGCTCTTGTTGGAACAGTGCAGACACAGTTGGTGCACAGGAATGGGTGACTGACTTGTCTTCTTAGTCGTGTATGACCGAGGCGCAAAAGTACCAGGGCGCGCTCTACCGGGAGAAGCCTACGAAGAACCAACGCAAGGCACAACAGAACAATGGCAAGCAGAATCAGAAGCAGAACAACGCTCATGGTCACCGCGCCCCGTATGTCGAAGATGCGAACGACACCGATAACCCGCCTGCGGCTCCTACTCCCCCGGTGACTGGAAACGACAAGTCCCAGGAAGCTTCTACGAATGGAGATAAGCAAGTCAATGTCTTTGACTACTTGGTGGCAGAAAAGACCCCCAACGCGTCCAAGGTCTCCCTGGGCGGATCTAAAGAGCAGATGAAGATGGTCGCCAATGCTCCCTCTGTCTTCGAGCCTAGCAAATCTCTGACCCGCGCCGACACCGATGCGGAGGAAGAGAACAAGAACTACGACGTCGCATACGAGGAGAATGGTTACTCCTACGGAGCTGGACCCATCAACCAGTCGGTGTATGACGGTAAAGCCCCGAACGCCTCCATGGAGTTCATGACTCCGGCACCGAAGAAGAAGAAGGATCGTTTGCGCGGCGAGGACAAGGTCAACGGCACGACCAGTGAGAAGAAGCGCAAGCGCCGCACCGACGATCATGACATGGAAGAAGCCGACACCCCCATGTTGGATGCGCCATCCAGCGTTCTGAACAACCCGGGCACGCCCATGCTGAAGCACTCTGGTCTGACTGGTGGTCTGGATCGGATGCTCCGCTCGCCGTCTCAGGACGGAGAAGACCACCCGCGTCGGCGTTACCAGGACCCCTCGTCACCCATCAAGCGTTCTCGCCGGGACAACAAGGACGCCAATGGTGACGGTCTCGGAATTTCGATGAAGAACCGCGCTGAACGTCTTGTGTCGTCGATGTTTGGTGGATCGTCGGTCTCAGGAAGTAGCGTGAACAGCCGCGAAACCGGCAAGGCTGCCCGGGCCAGTCGACGCGGGTCTCCGGACGAGGGTCGTTCCAAGAAGTTGCCCAAGGTCCGCAACGCCTCGAACGGCCAGGCCGAGTCTGATGTTAGCAAGAGCAAGCGTAAGAGCAGCGCTCAGACGGACGGTGATCGGCCGTCGCGCCGTCAAAAGCAGATCGAGCACACCGACTCTCGCCACGACGATAACGGCCGTGAAGTGGTGGTGTACCAGCAGAGCGGCGTCCCCGATGGCCTGCAGCGCCAGATGGCTACTCACTTCCTCTCATTGGTGACCAAGGGACCGGAAAGCACGCGCGGGTTCTCTGTGAACAAGGTTCTGAAGCGATTCCACCGCGATTTCACGGACGAGTTTGACGACAGCGACCGTGGCCGCGATCAAGGCCGCAGCCGTGCGGATCGGGAGCGCAGAGCCGATGATGAGAAGGAGCTGTGGCGGACACTGCGGTTGAAGCAGAATGAACGGGGTGAAGTGGTGCTTTTCTTCTGATTTTGATGGGTAATACGAGCATGGCATGGAGGCAAATATATTCCTTTCTTCTCTTCTGATATCTTTTGACTGCACTATTTTTGTTGTGCATAGCGATTGTGATGTGTGGATGGCTTTTTGAGGATTCATTTCAATATGTATATTGGCTTTATTGATTGCAGCTAATGGTTTCGCTGGCAATCATTGGTTATTTCCCCTTTCAATCTATTTCTCGGATCTAGAATCTGTAGAATATGCGGTCCCACTATGAGTAATCTTCGATACAGGATGACTCGAAGGCGCAGCAGCACCTCTTCCAGCATGAGTCACTGGCCGATAAGGCCCTGGTACAACCCTATTAGGTTAATTCCCTAAAATCCTGCCATGAATGCACTGTAGTTTATTAGCAGTGTTAACCCACAAGCCATCATTGGATGGGACATGACCCGTTGCCAGCTGCCACTCTCCATCAAATCTTCATCTGTCGCCACCCGAACCACCTCCGAGCTCAGGAACCATCCGAACCACCATCAAATTCCATCCCTTTGATCGCTTTCTCTTCGCTTACACTTATCTGCTTTTCTAGCCTGCAAGGCATTTCTTCTTCTTACCTTCATTTCCTTTGTTTGCTTGGGGAGTGTGTCTACTGTTGAGGAAGGGTTGTTGTATTCCCTCGTTCTTTTATTTTTTTCCTTTCCCGTTCACACTACTACTCACTTAATATCTGGATCGGCGGTTATCGCCCATTAGCGCTGGTGCATGATTGTCCTCCCACCACCGCCACCGCAAACCTCTCACCCACTCTCAAGGACCCTGGAGACGCAGACCATGTCCGCTACTTCTGCAGCTCCAGCTCCAGCTCCCGCGGCTGTTGGAGCCTCCAATCCTCATTCCAGTACCCCGCGCCCGAGACGCGGTAGAGGCCGTGGTGGCCGCGGTCGACAGACAGCGAATCCAGCTCAGGCTCAGACGCAAACGCAGACTCAGGCAGCACCAGATGCACAGCCTCACACTCAACGCCAACTACCTACGGAAACGACACCGAATGGAGATGCACCGCGTCCGCCGCGAGGACCGAGGGGAGGCAACAAGAGGGGAGGAAGAGGGGCAGGCGCGAGTCGTCGGCCACGCGGTGGCGATCAGGCTACACTTCCCGCTGGACGGACCTTTGGAGGAAGATTGACGAGGCCGGAGCAGGAACAGGATGGTCAAGCGATACCCGGTGATGGGGTGGATGATGCAGGGTTGAGGGCCGATGCGCCTGTGTTTGTGCCTGGTGTTGTACCGCAGCAGCCAAAGGAAGAAGTTCCCAATGGCGCAGCGTCTGCGTCTGGCACTGGGAGAGGAAAGGGAAAATCGAAGGCGAAGAACAACGGCAGCAACAGCGGTGGTAATCAGAAACAGCCTCGGTCTCAGCCGCCGCCGCCTCCGGCCAAAGTTACGACAAAATCAACGGCTTCCGATATCGCTACGCGGATTCACGAAGATATTGCGCACAATCTGTACGAATGTCCGATTTGCACGAGCGAGCTGGGAAAGAGGTCGCGTGTTTGGTCTTGCGGGCTCTGCTGGACGGTCTTCCATTTGAGCTGCGTGAAGAAGTGGTCGAGGAACGAGGGGGCGGCGGCTGCTCAGCGACAGGATGGTGAGAATGGGGAGAGTAGTGCGCCTCGCGCGTGGCGCTGTCCTGGTTGCAATCTGCCTCAGGAAGTGTTTCCCTCGACTTATACTTGCTGGTGTGAGAAGGAGGTTGATCCGCGCTCG